TGGTTGGTTGGCTGGTTGATAAGTTGGTTGATAAGTTGGTTGGTTGATAAGTTGGTTGGTTGATAAGTTGGTTGGTTGATTGATTGAGAAATGAATATATGTAAAAATTGATAAATAAAATAAATGATTGTCTGATTGATTGATTGCGTATGTAGCAAAACAACACGTGGTGTTGATTAAGACAAAATTTAAGTCTCTCATTCACTCATCTATTCATTCAGCCTTCCATCCAATTTATCTATCCATCTATCTATCCATTCATCTATCAATCCATTTATTCATCCATCCATTCATCTATCTATCAATCCATCCATTCATCTATCTATCAATCCTTTCATTCATCTATCTATCAATCCATTCATTCATCTATCTATCAATCCATTCATTCATCTATCTATCAATCCATTCATTCATTCATCTATCCATTCATCTATCAATCCATTTGTTCATCCATCCATCCATTCATTTACTAAATCAAGAGACTCTCGCTTGTTCATTAAATTTATCGCGCCATAAATTATATTTAATTCATTTTTTTCTCTTTTGAAATTTAGCTCTATATAAATTTTTTTTGTTTTCTTATCATTTCTTACATTAGATCTTTTGTTCGCATACATCCATCACCGACGACTATGACTATCTATCTAACTTATTATTCTCTCCTAAACCTTTCATCTTCTTAACCTACTTCCTCTCTCTCTCCATCTCTTTCTCCATCTCTCTATCTCTCTCTCACTTTCTTCCTTTCTCTCTTTCTCTTTCTTTCTTCTTTTCTCTTTCTCTCTTTTTCTTCATTTTTCTCACTCTACACCCCCCCTCTCTCTTTTTTTCTTCATCTCTCTCTCTCTCCTCTCTTTAAATATGTTTATCTTTAGCTTACATTTTTTCTTTCCTTCCTTATGTATCCTGCCTATCTGTGCACCCCCGATATAACGAACACTCACCAAACTTCTCATTCTCTCTCACCCTCCAGGTCCATGCCTACCTGATGGCCGAGCTGTACAACCGCCTGCCGGCCTCGTCAGTCATCGGACGGAAGTTGAACGACTTCTTGGGTAACAACGTCCTCAAGAAAACGAGGGAGAACCTGGCCAACAGTCTGCCTGAGATCTACGAGAAGTTAGAGAGAAAGTTGGATTTAAGTTTCGGTGACTTCCCGATCTTGAATGTCTTCAAGGAGAGATTGCTGGCGTGTGACTTTGAAACGAAACTGGTCCCCCTGCGGCAGTCCCTCATTGACGAGGTCGACAATATGTTGAATTCCCATTCAAATCCCCTCATGTCGGCCATCTTGTGCGGAAAACCCTGTTCCTCGCAAGCTCCAAAGTCCGTGCCAATAAGCGAGTTGGGTCTCGTCCACGATAAGCAGTACTCGGATGGCGCTGGTAGTTTTCAAGGGGCAAATTCGACCCCGGCTAAACCACCGCCACCTCAGATCGCGGTCCTCCCTCTCAAAGTTGTTGAAGACACCCCATTCGCACCCGGAAGATATGAAGGATTAGATGCCGGAAGTGATTTTTTCAGTCTGAAAAACACGGAAGTCAGTCGAGGAGGAACTCTGAAAAGCGTCATCTCAGCTGGAGCCAACAGCCCCTCCCCCTTCGAGGAACAAAATGCCGACCTGCCCTGGGCCATCGACCTTAGCAGGAGGGCCAAGTACAACGAAACATTCGTTAAAATTAAAAGTGAAGACGGGAAAGTTAGCGGAGCTTCGGTTCGCGAAGAACTCCTCAAGACAAAACTTCCGAATTCAGTCCTGGCGAAGATTTGGAGACTTTCCGATATGGACAACGACAACTGCCTGGACGAGGAAGAGTTTGCAGTGGCGATGTACCTGGCCGAAATGAAACTGAAAGGACACGACTTGCCGAATTTCGTAGCGGCCAAATCGGACGTAGGTGGTACTGGTAATAAAGAGTCGATACCGAAGTCAGCTCTCCCGATCCATCTGGTGCCTCCGAGTAAAAGACACCTCTTCGAATTTTGATCACGATTAAT